TGCTTGTAATTTTAAATATTGGTACTTGATTGATGAATACATTGGACTGATTCACCATAACCTGGAAACTAATTGATTGTAATGCATGAATTTTTATTCGATGCTTGTTCAGGGTGTTGGTACGTTGAATAATAAGCCTTGGGTTTGTGAATAAATTGACTAAAACTAATTGGATCTGAAATGGCGGACTGGTGCATTTTGAGTAGCCAGCTGGGTAACATTAGCAATACCAGTGTAGTAGAATCGCTTTTTTGTCGACCTTCGACTTGAATAGTTTTAAATGTGCATTTCCTTTTGTCACATGTTAAACCCATAATAGTCCAGTACCTGTATCAGGATATAATGAATTGTTTGGGCAATTTGAAATGTGTGCACGTGCTAATTTCTCGTGCACATATAGACCCCGTATTGGATGGAAAATGGTTCATGTACCAAATATACTACAGCAACTGTGACAATGATTGGCCATTTTAAATGCCACGCCTTCTATTAGTGGTGTTGCCTTTGTCTATACGGTGGTACGGGCATTGGTGTTCTAAACTGAATGTGTATGTGTAACATTTTAAGGCGGTCTAAGTTATTAATATACGACGTTAACCTCAAAATAGAGCTGAAATAATTCACTCCAGCAAGTTTATTTGCATATGACATTTTACTCGGCCAATAATTGGTATTCTATTAGTGTATAGTCGGCACAACTTGCGTCGATTTAACGTTGTCTAGTAGTCGTATTTTTCTCGTCTGTTCACAAACAATTTTGTTGCTTACAGTGTGCGGACTTGTTATGATTAAATGTCCAGCTGATGGAGAATGTCTAATTTCGTTTGAAATGTGCAATGGATACGAAATGGACTGCAGCGACAACTTTGATGAATCGACGGCTATCTGTGGAGGTGAGTGAAATGAACACATTTCAGGTTATTTATGAAACAAGCCCCCTGACAATATTTAAAATCTACATAACTTTTGTATTTTGCGCTCAGTGCGGTGTGGGCAATTATAAAAATCGGGTGTGGATGAGTACACTACTGCGAGATGGTTTCCTCGCCACCTAGATGTGAACCACATCTTTTTCACGATGATGTAACATTTTCTGTGCAGATTTTTTTTAAACATTCAAACCCAAGTTGACCATCCATCGTACCTTGGTGGTGCCAGCAATTGACAAGTGTTTAACCAGTAGTTGAACTTCTCCTTAAACCTAAACATTAGAAATTGTATCATGTATATTGTTCAGGATTCCGACCCAAAGCCACGTGACTAACTTAATTTGAAAACGTAATATTAGTAGTAGTTTTCTGTAAACAAGTCTTCATTACGCCATGCCCTTGCATTCTGCCTGCTTAGACTTGCATATTTAAGATGTTTCTGGCATTTCTCGAGGTTTCTGTGCAAATTTATAAAAAATAAAGTTTCATATTCGCCCAATTTTCGAGAGTAAAAGGAGACCCTTTCTCTAGGGCCACGGGCGTTAGCGCCGACATCAGGTGACCAAAGGAAATGGAACAAGCGACGAGAAAGTGACTGACCGATCAGAATGCTGGAACCATTACTAGTTACCGCCCCTTTGTGGCTTGGTATGCCATGACACTTGAGGCGGGGACTAGCCAAGGTTTCCCTGTAGAAGAAGAAGAAAAAAACAAACTTGTAGCTGTGAATTACTATTATGCTTGTGAAAATCTATTGAAATGGAGTAAGTGTCACTTATTTTATTTTCGGGTTGCAAAATATTATCAAACAATTGGTCATATGGAGGTAGTATACTTGCACACACTTGTTCAGACAGTATATGCGATTACTAACGTACGATCGTTGGTTACTAAGTGGCGTTGGTGGGTGACATTTAAACCAAGACAAATGTCCAGTAACATCTCAAACAAATCGCACTAAATTTCCGTCTACCGCGTTTTGTTGCACCAATTTCGGAAAAGAGTCTTGCGCGTCTAGTATGACGAGGGTTGAGCGATTGACGAATGAAAAACGTGTATTCACGTATCGGGTCATTGAATGTGTTCAAATGTAGGCGCGGAAGACCTGGAGTTTTACCCTCAAAAGGCGGCCGTGCTCGCTGAAGGTCTCTCAATCTAGCGCTTTTTTTCGTTTTAACAGATGCATTCGTGCATCTGTTAGTGCCTGGAATCGCTCATATTCGCAACCAGACAATTGATAATGCGAAACAAGAGTCGAACATTTATTTGTACGACGAGCTTTGCTCTATTTCTCTTGCCATAGACTAGTTTCATTTTGATTAATATATATATAAACCACAGATCGTTTCGTGTATCGTTGCAAACTCTTAATGTCACTAAGCCACGACAGATCGAGAAATTGTTGTAAAAGAAATGGTTTCCGTAAACAAAATATATCATTGCACTAATAACCCAGCCCAAATTTTGTAGAATGTGTAAAACTAAAATAAGTGTGGAGGCTTATTTTAGAAAATGTAAGCATCGATTGACAATTCGAACCTGAAGTATTCTTTAGAATATATCCACGTTGTACAACCACGTCTCTTCGTTACGTCGCAAGAATACGTGTATGCTAATAAGGAGCCTCGTTGTGAAATACGATAAACGACTCGAGTAGACCGCAACTTTCAAACGCATTTTTAAAAATAAGGGGATTTTAGACGTAGTGTAGAAAAAATTTCGCCAAGACACTTAAATTGTCGTCTATGGAAATCTAACATATGGTACAAGATTTAAGATGTGCTTTCTAACATTGCGTTTTTTTAACAGCGGAATGTGGACGTGGGGAATACCAGTGTTCAGATGGAAGATGCTTGCCAACTTATTGGGTGTGCGATGGGTATGGTGACTGTGTTGACGGTGGTGACGAAGCGCCCTCTATATGTGCAGGTGTGTAGTATCTAAAATTCACAATTAAGATTTGTTACATTTTTACAAGACAAATTACCTGTAGCATACCTCGATGCTCATTCATCAAGTTTTTAATTTCAGGTTGCAGTGTAGGATTCTTGAAATGCTCCGATGGAACGTGCATATCAACTGATAAAGCGTGTGATGGAATACCAAATGACTGTTCTGGCAATTATGATGACTCGCTAGAATTGTGTAGTAAGATATTTTTTTTAATTGTATCTCTCCGAAACAATCTGTACATTTCAGGGGGAAAAAACTCGTACTTTTGAAGACACTCGTTCTACTGGGAAAAGGTTATGACAATCTCGCAAGTAGAATATGCCTCGTAAACCAAGGAACAATTGTACCATGTGCAGATGCGGTGTAACTGCTGTTGTGATGAAATAGCCAAATAATGAGCGTTCAAGGTCAAGTGACAGGAATGACAGCCTTTTTTGGTAAATGCAATGATGTTGCATTACAAGCCGGAGAAATACTTGTAATGTACAATTCAAATGGTTTTTTTTATCAGGAAATGGTAATACTGGATGCACACAATTTGCATGTTCAACTGGTGAATGCATTAGTCAAATGAATCTTTGTGATGGAATCGCAGATTGTGTCAGTGGTGAGGACGAGACAAACTGTGGTTGTAGCTTTGCTGAATTTACCTGTACTGATGGCAGCTGTATTCCTTTATCCTACAAATGTGACGGAATAGTAGACTGTTCTGATGCGGGTGATGAAAGCACACTGACATGTAATCTAACCCCCTGCACATTGCTGCAATATGAATGCTCTACTGGTGAATGTATGTCTACAGATCAGCTATGTGATGGTATTAGTAATTGTCCTAGTGGTGAAGATGAGACGAACTGTGGTTGTACATGGGCTGAATTTACCTGCCCTGATGGTAGCTGTATTCCTTTATCCTACAAATGTGACGGAATAGTAGACTGTTCTGATGCGGGTGATGAAAGCACGCTGACATGTACTGATCCATGCCCAGCATATGAATGCTCTACTGGTGAATGTATTTCTACAGATCAGCTATGTGATGGTATTAGTGATTGTCCTAGTGGGGAAGATGAGGCAAACTGTGGTTGCACATGGGCTGAATTTACCTGCCCTGATGGTAGCTGTATTCCTGTATCTTACGAATGTGATGGAATAGTAGACTGTTCTGATGGTGCTGACGAACAAACGCCACTTTGTGCAGTTTGTACAAATGAAGAATTTACCTGTACTGATGGCAGCTGTATTCCTTTATCCTACAAATGTGACGGAATAGTAGACTGCCCAAGTGAAGTCGATGAAAGCCCTCATACATGTACTGATCCATGCCCAGCATATGAATGCTCTACTGGTGAATGTATTTCTACAGATCAGCTATGTGATGGTATTAGTGATTGTCCTAGTGGGGAAGATGAGACAAACTGTGGTTGCACATGGGCTGAATTTACCTGCCTTGATGGTAGCTGTATTCCTATATCTTACGAATGTGATGGAATAGTAGACTGTTCTGATGGTGCTGACGAACAAACGCCACTTTGTGCAGTTTGTACAAATGAAGAATTTACCTGTACTGATGGTAGCTGTATTCCTTTATCCTACAAATGTGACGGAATAGTAGACTGCCCAAGTGAAGTCGATGAAAGCCCTCATACATGTACTGATCCATGCCCAGCATATGAATGCTCTACTGGTGAATGTATTTCTACAGATCAGCTATGTGATGGTATTAGTGATTGTCCTAGTGGTGAAGATGAGACAAACTGTGGTTGTACATGGGCTGAATTTACCTGCCCTGATGGGAGCTGTATTCCTTTATCCTACAAATGTGACGGAATAGTAGACTGTTCTGATGCGGGCGATGAAAACACACTGACATGTACTGATCCATGCCCAGCATATGAATGCTCTACTGGTGAATGTATTTCTGCAGATCAGCTATGTGATGGTATTAGTGATTGTCCTAGTAATGAAGATGAGACAAACTGTGGTTGTACATGGGCTGAATTTACCTGCCCCGATGGTAGCTGTATTCCTTTGTCTTACGAATGTGATGGAATAGTAGACTGTTCTGATGGTGCTGACGAACAAACGCCACTTTGTGCAGTTTGTACAAATGAAGAATTTACATGTACTGATGGTAGCTGTATTCCTTTATCCTACATGTGTGACAGAATAGTAGATTGTCAAGATGGTGCTGATGAACAAACTCCACTTTGTGCAGTCTGTGCTCGTGGAGAATTTGCCTGCCCTGATGACAGCTGTATTCCTTTATCCAACACATGTGACGGAATAGCAGACTGTTCTGATGGTGCTGACGAACAAACACAACTTTGTACAGATTGTACAAATGAAGAATTTACCTGTACTGATGGCAGCTGTATTCCTTTATCCTACAAATGTGACGGAATAGTAGACTGTTCTGATGCGGGTGATGAAAGCACACTGACATGTAGTCTAACCCCCTGCACATGGGCTGAATATACCTGCCCTGATGGTAGCTGTATTCCTTTGTCTTACAAATGTGACGGAATAGTAGACTGTTCGGATGGTGCCGATGAACAAACACCACTTTGTACAGTTTGTACAAATGAAGAATTTACCTGTACTGATGGTAGCTGTATTCCTTTGTCTTACGAATGTGATGGAATAGTAGACTGTTCGGATGGTGCCGATGAACAAACACCACTTTGTGCAGTTTGTACAAATGAAGAATTTACCTGTACTGATGGTATCTGTATTCCTTTATCCTACAAATGTGATGGAATAGTAGACTGTTCTGATGCGGGTGATGAAAGCACGCTGACATGTAATCTAACCCCCTGCACATTGCTGCAATATGAATGCTCTACTGGTGAATGTATTTCTACAGATCAGCTATGTGATGGTATTAGTGATTGTCCTAGTGGGGAAGATGAGACAAACTGTGGTTGCACATGGGCTGAATTTACCTGCCTTGATGGTAGCTGTATTCCTATATCTTACGAATGTGATGGTATAGTAGACTGTTCGGATGGTGCCGATGAACAAACTCCACTTTGTGCAGTTTGTACAAATGAAGAATTTACCTGTACTGATGGTATCTGTATTCCTTTATCCTACAAATGTGATGGAATAGTAGACTGTTCTGATGCGGGTGATGAAAGCACGCTGACATGTAATCTAACCCCCTGCACATTGCTGCAATATGAATGCTCTACTGGTGAATGTATTTCTACAGATCAGCTATGTGATGGTATTAGTGATTGTCCTAGTGGGGAAGATGAGACAAACTGTGGTTGCACATGGGCTGAATATACCTGCCCTGATGGTAGCTGTATTCCTTTGTCTTACGAATGTGACGGAATAGTAGACTGTTCGGATGGTGCTGACGAACAAACACCACTTTGTACAGTTTGTACAAATGAAGAATTTACCTGCCCTGATGGCAGCTGTATTCCTTTATCCTACAAATGTGACGGAATAGTAGACTGTTCGGATGGTGCCGATGAACAAACACCACTTTGTGCAGTTTGTACAAATGAAGAATTTACCTGTACTGATGGTATCTGTATTCCTTTATCCTACAAATGTGATGGAATAGTAGACTGTTCGGATGGTGCCGATGAACAAACACCACTTTGTACAGTTTGTACAAATGAAGAATTTACCTGTACTGATGGTAGCTGTATTCCTTTGTCTTACGAATGTGATGGAATAGTAGACTGTTCGGATGGTGCCGATGAACAAACACCACTTTGTGCAGTTTGTACAAATGAAGAATTTACCTGTACTGATGGTATCTGTATTCCTTTATCCTACAAATGTGATGGAATAGTAGACTGTTCTGATGCGGGTGATGAAAGCACGCTGACATGTAATCTAACCCCCTGCACATTGCTGCAATATGAATGCTCTACTGGTGAATGTATTTCTACAGATCAGCTATGTGATGGTATTAGTGATTGTCCTAGTGGGGAAGATGAGACAAACTGTGGTTGCACATGGGCTGAATTTACCTGCCTTGATGGTAGCTGTATTCCTATATCTTACGAATGTGATGGTATAGTAGACTGTTCGGATGGTGCCGATGAACAAACTCCACTTTGTGCAGTTTGTACAAATGAAGAATTTACCTGTACTGATGGTAGCTGTATTCCTTTATCCTACATGTGTGACAGAATAGTAGATTGTCAAGATGGTGCTGATGAACAAACTCCACTTTGTGCAGTCTGTGCTCGTGGAGAATTTGCCTGCCCTGATGGCAGCTGTATTCCTTTATCCAACACATGTGACGGAATAGCAGACTGTTCTGATGGTGCTGACGAACAAACGCCACTTTGTACAGATTGTACAAATGAAGAATTTACCTGTACTGATGGCAGCTGTATTCCTTTATCCTACAAATGTGACGGAATAGTAGACTGTTCTGATGCGGGTGATGAAAGCACACTGACATGTAATCTAACCCCCTGCATATGGGCTGAATATACCTGCCCTGATGGTAGCTGTATTCCTTTGTCTTACGAATGTGACGGAATAGTAGACTGTTCGGATGGTGCTGACGAACAAACACCACTTTGTACAGTTTGTACAAATGAAGAATTTACCTGTACTGATGGTAGCTGTATTCCTTTATCCTACAAATGTGACGGAATAGTAGACTGTTCTGATGCGGGTGATGAAAGCACACTGACATGTAATCTAACCCCTTGCACATTGCTGCAATATGAATGCTCTACTGATGAATGCATTTCCACAGACCAGTTCTGTGATGGCGTTAGTGATTGTCCTAGTGGCGAAGATGAGACAAACTGTGGTTGTACTCTGGCTGAATTTACCTGCCTTGATGGTCGCTGTATTCCTTTATCTTCCAAATGTGATGGAATAGTAGATTGCCCAAGTGAAGTTGATGAGAACCCACGTAAATGTCCTGATCCATGCCCAGCACATGAATGCTCAACTGGCGAATGTATTGCTAATTTCCAAATTTGCGATGGCATCAGAGATTGTGTTAATGGTGAAGACGAATTAGATTGTCCAAATGTATGCTCTGAAGTAGAGTTTGCATGTCCCCAAGGTGGTTGCATACCACTGTCGTCTCTGTGCAATGGAGTTGATGATTGTCCTAGTGGTGCTGATGAGAATCCTTTCAGATGTGGTAGATTTATACATCATGAATGTAAATCTGGAGAATCTATTGAAGCTCATCAGTTCTGTGACGGTACCATAGATTGTGAGAGTTCTGAAGATGAACTCGATTGTGGAACTGGATGCTTAGAATCTGAATACACATGTTTGTCTGGACATTGTATATCCTTATTTCGTGTATGTGATGGTGTACCGAATTGTGCAACTGGTGAAGATGAAAGTGTCGATCTCTGTGGATGCAATGTCAATCAATTCGAATGCGGTAATGGGAAATGCATATTGGGAGAATACGTTTGTGATGGTGATCCTGACTGTCCGTATGGCGAAGATGAAGACGATTGTGGTTGTGATGAGGCTAGGGAGTTTAAATGTCCCACCACTGGTGCATGTATTTCAATCATCAAAGTTTGTGATGGTATATCAGACTGTGAATATGGCGAAGATGAACGACTGCCAGAATGTCTTCCAACGTTGGAACCAATTACTCCAGAACCAACCATTGAAGGTAACTGCCATACACGTGACGCTTGTCTATAATACAAACTTTTAGCTAAATCTGTAAAACTATTTTTTTTATTCTCGTGTCACTCAGTTAAACAATTGGCGAATGGGTAGCTGCAAGCCCAGAGATGTGCTTACCAAGATTTATAATTATTAATTATGAAACTTCTTTAGTAGTAGAGTTTATCTAGTATTACTAATTTAATGATCTTCCATTCCAATAGAAAAAATATCTAGATTTAGAATTGAAGAGAGATTGGACGCCATAGAAGAGAAGTGCAATGAAGTGGAAGAACATGTAGAGCAACATGAATCATTAAGTGAGTTTTCAAGAAAAAAACATTTTCGTCTTTGAATATTTTTTTGTTGGAAACATTGTCGCATTGTCATGAAGTGGGTAAGTTGTGACCACAAGCGCAAAAAAAACTATAGTCGTTCTGTTGCAAAGAAAATAGTAATCGATCGTCAAAACCTCGTAGGTTTTTAGTATTAACTCCACACAATTTCATTCTTAAAGGCAGAGAAACAGTCGCTAGATTCATTGGCTATACAATTGCACGTGGGTAACCTCCACAACGGGTAACTTGGACCATGAAGTGTGAAATAGTGTGTACTTTTCTAACTATTCACTCTATTCCTGCAATGTAAACGCGCCCCCCCCCCCATTTGGAATAACTGTCACAATCAACTGGGAGTGGAAGCTTCATTAAGAAAGTAAGATTGTCCAATTATATTCTAGCACACTAATTTGGAAAAGTGTTTAGTGCTTACCTCATAAAAAAACCTTGGTCCAGCGGATCTTTAATTATCTGAGGAAATCTGTTGCCAATTTTTAATTCAATTCTTTTTCAGATGAGGAAATGTACACAGAACTCTTGGGAAGAATCGAAGCTCTAGAAGAACAGCTCGGTGCACTTGCACGTAGGTCTTCTCATATTAATTGCAAAACGATTGTACTAGTATATCTGAGTCATGCATGCAATGAAATGTAAATGAGTGGGGGTGACGTCAACACTGCGTGCGTGAATAGTTTTTTTGGCTATTTTCAAGCTTAATTGGCATTACATAATTGGTTAATTTTACTGAAGTGCACCTTAACGTCATTCCCTGTGAACAAACTGTATTTCGACATTGCGCTAAATAAAAGAAATTCAATACGATTTGTGCGGCTACGAGTCTATCACGTGTTAGAAAAATCGCCCATGGATGCATTCAAAAAAATGCAAATGAACGTATATGTTAATTCGCTACATGTTGGGCTCATTCTACAATATTTTCTGAAACTAGTGTAGTTTTTTTTTTAAACAAAATGCTGATTATTAAACGAAACGTGTACTGCAAATGTTAAATGCATTTTCGTTTGCAAATGTCCTTTTAGTAGGTGTGGATTCGCGTCGCGTTCATTTCGGACAGTTGTTTTAAAAGTTGCGTGGTGTGAAGAGTCTTACAATTGCGGTGATGTTTGCCATGGTCGCAACTTTGAATCTTGTGTTAGTATGCCTGTGATTGTATATGGTTCGCTTTTCACAAATATCCATACAATTTGAAAGGTACTTTAGGGAGTTTATACTAAATATTCGAGGAGATAAAGAAATTATAACTGGTTTCCATGCCGAAACCTTTTATGCAAGCAATGCAAATCACTAAAAGGCATTACTTTAATTTCTAGCTCCTGCAACGAATGAAAATGTCACCGTCAAGTCTTTTCACCGTATTGAGTCGAAGTTAGGAAGAAAATCTCTAAGACAAGAAACTACCGGTGAAGAGAAGCAGGCAAATTCCGGTCGCTCGGCAACTCTAGCAAAAATTATACCCAGCAGCAATGTTCGTGGACAAATTGAGAACACTAGAGAAACTAACCGCCAGGGAAACTTAACCAGAAACATCACGAGGAAGAAGACTTTTCTTCATGCTAAGTTACTGTCGTTGAAAAAACTTGCCTCGAGCAAAGCTAAACTGGCAAAATGAGATTGTATCACCATCTAATGTACGATGCTACTTTTGTTTTAATTTTAATAGAATAACAAGTTTCATAGTTTATTTATATATTAGTTTATTATATTTTAAATTATTAGATAGCCTATAGGAACAGTGAATTTATTTATATATAAGATTAGCCCTGCGTACAGTGCTGTGTGTACGGGGACGCGTTCGGTTGATAGATGTCCCCACCACAGCCCTGCGAACTTTCATAGACAAAGTCCGGGACATTGAAAAATATAACTTTTTTAATGAAATAACATGCCCAGCTACCAACAATGATGATCGATTACCAGATATATCCAGAACTTCCAGTTCGGAGTCCAATTGTGGATGAAATCGGCTACTTTGCCTTAAAAACAAACGCATTCTCTTGCGTGAATGAAATTAAAAATGGCGGCGTTTTGTGGATAATTCCTCCTGTACCTACGCGTTTACAATTTGTCCGTCTTTACTAGTTGTTTAAAGACATTTCCGTTTCAGATAACTTTTTAATGGTTGTTACGGATAACTATCGTCATTTCAGCCGATTTCGGCAGAGAAACTACCTATTTTTAACTTGCGCACCAATTACGTGCGTTCCCGGACTTTGTCTATGGAGGTACGCATGGCTGTGGTGGGGACATCTATCAACCGACCGCGTCCCCGTACACACAGCACTGTACGCAGGGCTAATATAAGATATGATTTACTTGTATTACATAATCGCCTTTATTTTGTATTCCCTACTTGGAGTAATTAATTTATTCAAGTAAAATAATAATGACCGTCACCAAATGTTTCGATTTTTAGAAATTTTCACTTGCAAAACAAGTAGGCTGCTATATGCCAGATTGATTGCCGCGATGAAATCTACTGCGAATAGCCCTTGTGCATGAACAAAGACTACGTGAACGATAGACATTTCACGTGCCTGTTCAAACTTACTCGGCAACTAACAAAGTTAGTAGAAACCCGAGACTGTGGGGCTGTGATGACTCGGCGAGAAATAATTACTCTTGTGTCGCGGTCACTTGCTTTCACTGACTGCTTCCACTTGAACCCGAAGGGAAGTTTTTGCCATTGTTTATTGTAATTTATATTTTACAACATGGGGGGCGCTACCGGACCATTCAGTCGCGAGGTTGGGCGAGCAAGATAAAAATTCGTCCCCTTTCAATGCTATTAATAAAACTTCAACCCTGCAAGATAATTTTGTTAATTCTGTTGACTTAAAAAAAATGAAACTAAAATGCATATTTTACCAAGTTGAATTTTGCATGTTTTGTTAGCAATGTTCATGCCACCATATCGTCTCATCTGCCAGTCAAGATTGGAAGAATTACAATCGGATGTCCAAAAATGAAATCTGTATCGCTGTGAAAATGCCAGTGAACGTAATAGTATTGGTGCTGCCCTGACTTGTTTATCAGTTCTGTTTCTCATCAGTAAATGTTTGAAAGCACGTTTCTACATCGTGGTGAAATGCTTTACAGGCTGATTTTCCGTAGGTGATAATGTTGTACGAATTGCACATCGTGGAATTATATTACTGTCAGCTGCCCATATACCACATACTTGATATACGAGTCACGGATATTGTTTTAAAAACCACACTTGAAAACAATGTGAAGATGATATTGTTTAAATACAAGCGTCACCCGTGGGAATCGGGACAACGCCCATGATGGGTGTCTGTACGAGCGATATGACAAACTATTCAATAGACAAGTTGGACCCAACGCGATGTTTGGAATAATGTGATCCAAGATTTGGGCAACAATTGAAACTCGAGTTTCCAATTCCTTCTAAAGATGGATTATCACGTCTTCACATTCAACCATACTTGGTTGTCATGGAAACTACAACTACACGTGTTAAGAAGTGTTACAAATAGTATTAATCTGATTAATTTACATGGTGTATGCAGTTTTGTGATTGATACACCTACCGAGTCTCGTCATTCGCTGGACTCATTTCGGTCATAACAAAATATTTTAGAAGTATAATTCATTCCTTTGAACACAATCCCCGTATTATAGCCAAGAACATAAAGATCTTGAAAAATAATATTGATTAACAAGTTTAAATTCCATTACTACGCGGTGTCCCTAATTTAAATATTTCGATGATTGTACGTTTTCACACTTATTCATAAAGCACTGGAATGCAATAAGTAGACAGACGGCCTACTTATTTGGCAGATTTGCAAATATCTGAAGCGCGAGCGGCAGGCAGCAATCCTTTCAGATGTACTGCGCCCCTATTTCTGCTGTGCTTGAAATTGACAATGTAATTGTCCTTCCTGTGAGGTGGCAGAACTCTTTGATAGGTTTGGTATGTCTACATGTAGCGTTTTACATGTTGCCTGTACGCGAGAATTAAACTGTTAATAACAGTGACGTGAAGTTCATGACCGTGACATTGTCGATAGGAAATTGACAATTAAGAACAGTATGAAAACGTATCGCGGCAAGTGTCGGGCAGGTGGTGATATAAGAGGTAACGTCACACATTTAGGGTAAGAAGGGACGTTCAAAAGGTGTCGTGTATCTTCAAGTTGTTGCTCGCCACTTGTTACCTATAATGCATGTCTGTCCCATATTTAGCACATGTCCTGCGTTGTCAAAGGAGTCAAAGTATTTTTATTTATTGCCATAAAATTGTAATTTAGTCGGCTTCATTGCTGCCTATTTTGATTTTAAAACTAGACAAATCACGCCTTCAAAATTTGAGAACTTAATTCATTTTTTTTCTATGTTTAAATCAACCCTGATATTCCAGTTGTTACATTACTTTCTATGTGAGTTCTGAAGAGGCTACAGCATATGATACAAACGGGCGCAAAGTACAGAAGCAAAAGTACACGTTAAATTGGTGCTCCAGTTATCTTAACGCCCACATATGTAAACGACAATACAATATAGTAAAGTAAAATTTTTAGTTGAAAATTACGAGTTGAAATGACAGTCAAATTAACTGGAGGCATCACAAGGAGCGAAAATATGTTCTTTTCACTGAAATAGTTGAAAATATTTTAAAGTAATGCGTAATTTAATTTATGATCCATCATATTTGTAGTGTACGTGATTGGCAATGATTAATAAACACTTGGGCAGTTTCCAGCCGGTCCTTTTTTTTTTTTTTTTTTTTTTGTAACTGCAAATTAACATCACTATTTTTTATAATTAGACAGTCCGAATTAAAGAAACTTCAGACACCGCAGCTGCCCACATACCAAGGCACGACACATTGTGAATCAAATGCAAGTACTTATGCCCAATACGAGGTACACGCCTATACATCAATGACTGGCTCCTTCACCACAAAAGACCTGTCGAAAAAATTACTAGTAAACTCGTCCATTTAGGGTTAGGAATGTGGTATCAAGTCGGAGGGGCGTAAAACTGTCGGCCCGTGTCCTTTCCCTGTGCTCAGTACACGTACCATATTTCAAATTGTTGCGGATTACGACGAAATGTATGGAACTTTCCCTCATACCAAACTTTCAATTGTGTCATTTGAGTGTTGCGCAATAAATAAATACTTTCAGGTTGTTGAAAGTAAGCCTTTACTTCCCCATTTTGAAGACCTCTTCAAGACAATGGCAGATGAAAACCAAAACCTGTTTTTACGTGACAGTTGCATCACGCAGCTCCATGATAAATTGAAATTTCAGGCACAATGTTTCAACTTGTTAATATTGAGTGTATAATGTTTTCTCTAACCCAGAGTTGGAATCCAATGCATACTACCAATCAAAATATTTCACATGTATCAGATAATCGAACCCGTATGCATTCTAATCAATTATATTTTACCAGTGCGACAATGACATACACAACCATATTAAGCGTACTCATTTGAATAATTCAAGCCATCCTCTCCATCAACCAATCTGGTACTCAGGTTGCCAATTTTTGACAATATTAAAGGGTCGGCAAAAAGTATTTTCGTATGCTGTGATCAATTGTTTTTTCGTAATACTGTAATTTAAATAAATAAAAAAAACGGAATTTCGTAGACATGCACAAGGTGTAAAATTTTAATCTTCCGTAATTCGTACAATGATCTAATTTCTTTAAGTGTATAAAGTATTTTTCACATTCAATGTCGTAATTCTTACAAAATTACAAATTTCTCTTTTTGACGCCCGGGGGCATGCGCAAATCTCCCGGGTGAGGTCGTTGCACATGTGCAGTGAAGTTCTTGTTTATTTCCGCGGTTTAGTGGATTCTCGTAAATAATGTGAATTTTTCATTGAAAACAAAGGTTCTGCTGTTGGTGTATCGACGTCAGAGGGCTAAGTTGCTACGTATATCTCTAATGTAGGGAGTTTCGCCTACGGATTTTTTGAATACGCACGTTTTTTATCTTGATTGAATCCTTGCAGTTCTATATTTAAATTATTTATTTTATTCATATTAATATTTGCCAATAACTTGTACGTCGGAAGTAAAGTGTATTTGAATTTAATTTGCAGAGGTGATCAATATTATATTTATCAGTATTTTATATTAAATAAAAATAAATACACCGTGCTTGCAAAGTGTGCAATAAGTTATTATTAGATGAATGTAAATACGCCGTACTTGTAAGGTGCGAGTTATTGGTAAATAAATATAAATGAGTGTATGAGTAAAACCACATGTAAATGCATAAAATACGCTATTATACAAGTAATTATAATTAAAATCAATAATTAAATACAAGTATATATCCGCATTATTCAATGTGTGATATTGTTTGACTCTCGATTCTTAAAACACAAATTATCAAATACATTAAAAACCGTAAAGTGTAAAAAGTGTTTTTTACTGCAAATGGAACTTTCATTTTATTTTTTGTAAAAACGTAAAATTCCTTTTTGGTGTGTGGAGAATACAATGAGCTAGTCTTGTGTAGATAATTGAGTTTGTAAACAGCTGTTCTGTGTGTGTTACCAGTATTCGCATATGATTCATACCAAACACATTTATCTCTGCAAAGGGAACAAGGAATCTTGGATTTTCGATTCTGTACGACCATATCTACTGTCATGTTATGCGATTGAACCCCTAGGAAAACACAGATCCAATAGATTTAAATATATAAAAATAGGTTTTCCGAAGAATAAAAGATTGAATATCAGAACCATTCAACAACTAAGGATCGAGATATATTAATAAACAAACGTTTATTGACTACATACAAAATATAATATATAGTGCCATCTTCTGAACTTTTTAAAAAAAAAATACCACTAAACATTAAACAAAACTTTGTTTTGAACTGGATTACAAATTTTCATGTGGAAGCGAAATTATTATTCATTGACATTATTTTCAGGCAATGTTACATACATCATTTTACAGTCATTAGCAATTTCGACTACCAATAATAATAAACAATGAAATGAAACAGCTAAAATTGAGTACAAAATGTTTAAGCAGTCCCATCGTGGTAAATTCTTTATCAATATGAAGTACATAATCTCTTGTTTCAAAGTTTGGAGAACAAGGCTTCACGCTATTCACGCCAACTAACAGGTTGTAATTCTTTTATACAGTCTGCATTGGGTGTCACACGTCCAGGTTGTGTTGCCACTGGTAAATATACATTTTTTGCTATGAAAAAAATAAATACAAGTGGTTAATGTTCTCAATAACACAAATAAACTGTCTATGTTATGCTTCCAGATAGCATTTATTAGTTTATTAGTAGTGAATGTACACAAACTATGTTTTTGAACAATTCAATAATTTCATTCACATGCCACTGTAACTGTAGATAAAAAACAATCGGGTACAAATA